AACCGTATTTGCGACACGAGCGACTCGCAGTCTGGATAAATCGCCAGTTTTTCCTCCCCGACGGAGGTGATTAAGATTCCGAGCATATATCCGCCTTGTTCTCGATTTCCTAGAAGACTCGCGCTTAATCCCACCGCGTATCCGCTTATCGCTCCTCCGTTGTACGTACGTATTTTATATGCGTATATCAAAAGAAATCTCTACGAGTACCGTTAAACCGAATAAAAATAAGTCTTTCAATTGAAACTCCCTTTTTGCACCTTGATAACATTATTTCTCCAATATAAGTCGTTACAAAAATCGGAAGTATTGTAAATGGGAAGTATTGTAAATGTACTCGCGTAATTTGACGAAAATATGTAATTATCTTCAAAAAATAGTCATACGAGAAATAAAAGAATTAAAAAAAAATATGCAAAAGAGTTTGTAAGTTCATAGGACGCGCAATCGGTGCTGAAAATGAAGGCAACCGTCCGGAAAGATTTCTTTCAATTGAAATCCCTATTTTTGCGCTTGATAAAATTATTTCAATCCCTAATAAGCCATTACAAAAATCAGAAGTAAATGAACTCGCGTAATTCGACGAAAATATATGATTACCTTCAAAAAATATGAAAAGTCACGTAAGAAATAAAAGGAATAACAAAAACAGTTTTACAAGTGTTCATGAGACGCAATCAGTGTATTGAAAATAAAAGCAACCGTTCGGAAAAATTTAATCCAATTAAATTATCGTGTAGGAAACGCTCGTACGAGAATCGAAGGGAATCTCGCGACTTCTGAACTTTACTCCGTACACGTCGACAGGTGTATCCGCTTTAAAAAAGGCGACTTTAAACAGCCGCCCGTGTTCATCGCGGAGAATAACGCGAGTAATTACGCGGGATCGGCGGGATCCATTAGAGATCCTCGCCGGCTCGCTCGTCTTTATCGATGACATAAGAGAACTTTTATAGCGCGAGGATTCCTGCCGTCATCCTTACGCGCCGCTCGCTTCAACCGCTCGCATCCCCTCCCCCCCCCTGCCTCCCCTCCATTTAGAACTCTGTTACGTGCCGACCTGATGCGACGATGCGACGCGACGCGAGGCGTAAATTACAGGTGCCTACGGAACGAAAGCTACATGAAACAAAGCCCCGATGAATGAGGAATCCGCTGCGAGTCTAGAGAGATAGAATCTCCCCGACGATCGAGGAGGCGAGCCCGCCATTTGTTCGCAATTTGCCGACACGCGCGACAGAGGTGCCGCGATGCCGCCGATCATTTTCACCTGGATACCGTTTAATGGAGCACACACGAGTTCGCGACAATGCGACGTACGTGCAACACGATTTTTCGACGAATCATCGTCGCGCGCCTCTTCTCCCGAGATGGCGAGAGTAAGCAGCGAATGTCGAAATATACATATACATATATATATATATATATATATATATATATATATATATAGGGATAGTAACTTACGTTACCTGAAAAAGGTAGATTAATATCTTCCTGTTATTATTGCGGCGAAACATGGCGCAATATACGCCGACCTTAAAATGTAAAAAAATCTTCTAATCTATTTGCGTACCTTCGAAGTGGCCGGATTTCTTCTTTCGAAGACACGAAGATAATTGCGACAAGGCGATCCTAATTTCTAAACACGTGATATCTTTCTCGAGTTAGTATTTTTATAATTTTTATATGAAATATTTGTTACATTTACTTTACGTATATGAAGTAAAACAAAAACACGAAATGAAACAAGTTACAATTTCCAAACTCGGTTTTTATTATTTTTTTTTATTTAAAAATATGATGCTGTTTAAAGTAGCGTTACTATGAAAAGAGAGACTGATGTATTTGACAATATAAAACATAAAGCCGAAAGCCATTGTTTTGTAAAGTCGCATATTCTTTGCATTAACGGCAGTTGTTTTTATAATTTTATCGCGCATACACACACACACACACACACACACACATACACACACACATACAGATGCGTGATGAAAATAAATGGTCACACATTTCGTATCGCGTCAACAAAAACCAAATAGCGAATCGTGTGTCTCGTTATTATTAGCAAATGTTCAACGCGGGCATTAGTGTGGCAGAAATATGACTGTGCATCACTCAATAATAAATATGAATAAGAATGTAAATATTCAATAGTCGTGTAATTTATACCGCCGTACTTAAGAACTAATTGCGGATGATGTTTCGCTAATGGCCGCGTAGTTATGGTATCTCCCTCACTGTTTTCCTCTCATTATCATCCTAAAGTTGCAGTACAAAATCATCACGCAGGACGGCGAGGATTCCCGGCCGTCACGGATCCGTTATATCGGTAATCGAGGCAATTTTTCTTCCGTGGACACGGCAACCTTTTACTTCGTTACAGACCTCCGGCCTTTACCTATTTATCACCTATCATCGGATCGCGCGACAGTGATCCGAACTAAATCAACAGCTATCGAATTAGATCGCATCCGCGATTAATTTTGGCTTCAGTTTCAATTTTACCTTTCTCCCACGCACGTTATTTTTCAATATAAGCCATTATAAAATTCATATTTAATTTTAGCTCCAGCTCAAATTTTGCACACAATCGTATTCTCTTAGCTTCACTTACAGTCAGAGACGCCACGCTTCAAGATGAATTTTTAAAATTATCGAACAAATCGTGCATCTTCGAGGTGCAACCGCTTTCGCGCGTAAAATCTCTTGCATTTTAACATTTTTTAAACTGAATATTTAATATGCGTCTCGCAGAGACCGAGAGATTCGACATATCATGCCGTCGCACATTCGCATTAGATTTCAGTTTAATTCGCAATTTAATTTAAATCTTTTTTTGTACCATTCTCGAAAAAAAAACACGCGTGCGAAACGAGAGAAAACAACATTTTTAACTTTCGCAAGGATACAATTATAATTTCTATCGGTTAGAAACGCGCTAAACTGAAGGACTTTCCAAGATAAGAACCGATCGGGGCTCGATCGGTGCTGATTGAAACGATCGTTTCTGATTTCAGACGAACATGCACGCGTCGTTCCCGTACGACGGTGGACGCAGTAGTGGCGGAGGCGGTGGTGGCGGAGGCGGCGGCGGTGGCGGCGGTGGCGGCGGCGGCGGCGGTGGAAGGGGCGTCGAGTATGGCGCCGTACGCCGTCCTGACGCCCTCCTACCGCCTCCGGGTCTCGACCAGACCGATCTCGTTCTGCACAGCAGCCTCGTTGACGACCCCCAGGTGAGCGACGATGTACGTAATCGCAACATATTTTCTCTATTATCATCCCTCGACGCGTCTCCGCCGAGAAGATAATCCGCGGGATGTTTCCGCAAACGGAAGCGTTATGACTATTGGAGAAATCGGAATCGTGTACATTTTCGTGTACGGGAATGGTTTTTCGACCGCGACGCCATAGACATGACGTTTAAATGCCTCATTAATTTTGAAAGTATAAATTGTTGAGAGAGGAAGAGGGAAAATAAAATGATATAATAATTGGAATGTAAATTAACAAAATAATACTCTTTTTCTTTTTAATTAATTTAAATTCATGTTCTTACAATAGCATTTAGATCTAGTTGTCGAGATACGAAATTGAAGCTAAGTGTTTTTTATATTTTTAAATTATCCTTCGCGGTTAATTCCGCAGGATAAATGTTCGTCAATCCTTTTTAGATTAGTTTGCGCTTTTTTCGCAGAACGTACAAAAGCAGTTATGTTGGCATCAAAAGTTTTCAGCATCCATTAAATAGAATGTCAGACGCTTGTTACAATGTGGGGTGGAATGCTACGAAACATACCGTACTTTGCTGTGGTCGAAAGTATTTTTCTTTGTCTTGCACAAGCACGTAGTAGCCGATTTATTATATTATACGTAAAAATATTCATGAGAAGTAGTATATCTGTATAATAGTGTATTTCTCGGCATAATAGTGTTAAACATTTTTGTATCTATTCTTAGATTTTGTCACAGATTTTTTTAAACAATCTGGCGAAAAAATACAGAATTAAACTTCATACTTAAAATACAGAATTAAAATCTGCATACTTTTCCTTTAAATTGCAGATATTTACAATCAAATTTATGCGACACTATCTATTTAATATCAAATATGTCGAAGAATTCTGAAAAATTGAATTATAATATATAGCTACAAATACAAGTTTACCTTCTCAATTTTATAGGCTGATTTCTTTTTATAAAATTATACGACATGATTATATAAATATTAATATTAAACAATTTAAATTTAGTAAATTTAATATGAAAACAATCTCACGTATGAAATAAAATCACGTTCCTATTGTGAAAAGATTATCTAAAAATTTATTAGTATCTTTTATTAGTATCTTTAAATAAAAAATGAGAGATTAACAATATTTCTATCACATTTCAACATTGTTCGAATCATTTTTCTATGTTTTAGAATACAAATGTGGATGACGGAGGGTTCATGAACGACCTGCCATTATTAAAAAGTAAGTAACTGCAGAAATATATATCCATCTTATTTACGTACAATAATTTTAACAGAAATAGAAAAGTATTTCAACGAGAAATACTCGTCAGCGAGAAATACCCGTCGAGATTTTAGAAGACCGATGCTGTTTTATACAGAATAACAAAAAATCTTCCCGCAGAGATATTCTTTGAATTTTTCGACCTGTGAATTTTGTCGTGCGTAACACAAACAACGCGTCCCGCGTCTCGCTGGAATCGTCTCGATTCGAAATTCATTCCGCGGGGGTAAATTTACGCGTTGCATAAAATGCGCGCCGTCTCGAAATAGCAGGGCGCCGGCATAATCCCGGCATAAAACGGCCACTACGCGACCGGAAATATAAAGTAACCGCACCAGCGAAACTTGTCGCCCTTAATTAGAATTTATCTCTCTCTTTGCCACGCCGTCGTGTCAAGGGCGAGGCAGATCAGATTTCTAACCAGATTTTTGCGAAAATAAGCTCAAGACTCTATCGTTCTCTTTGCGCGCGTTAAAATGACGGCCCGGAGCGAGCAAAAACGTCGTTTTTCTCGTTGGTCGAAACCGCGAAAGAGATCGCGAGGAGGAACTCGCAAAATTATCGAAGAGCGCCGCATTGAATTGCAACGCGATAAATTTTATCTATTAGCTCGCGTGCACGATCAAGTTTAGCCTCTCGCTTTCCTGGAAAGCTTCCGTATAATAAGATTATCTGCATCGTATCTGTAAAGATTAATCTTCGAGATATTCTGAATATCGAACTTTGCGAATATCGAACTAATTTTTATCTAACGTTACATTGCGAAATATTGTCCAATATTTCACGATAAAATAGATTTCTCGCTCGTTTCTATACATTTATATTCGAGGAAAAAAAGTCTTTTCAAATGCCTGGTGGCATTTAATATAAATTTTCTGATCTAAATCCTTTTCCCGAGTAAACACCTGAAAATTCAAGTATTTTTATAATAACCACGCGAATAAAACCCCGCGTGGCCGAGGTGCGGATAGTTTCGCGATTGCGTAACTTCGAATAGATCGTAGAGGGGGATGTCTCGTGATCAGAAACAGATTACAAGAGGAAACCTTGCATCATGGTCAATTTCGCGAGCGGAATACGCCTTTAGTTGACTCGTGTCAATGCGAGATCGAATCGCGGCCAGCATCTTGCGAAAGTATCACGCTCAGCCTGATACTTGTCGTGTCCGATCGACGCACCGGCGGATAGGACTCCCATTCGTCGTGATGGTTACACCTATGGATGAAATATGTAACTTTCGATCTATGAATTAATTACGAAACCGCTGCCCAATATGGTAGCAGCAATTTTCGCTTTAGCCTTTAGAGAATGTCAAAAGTACCGCGCGCGCTTTCTCTCCGCGCGTGCGCGCATTAGAAACCAAACTGAGAGAAAGGAGGTGATTCGATGAGTGATTTTACATTGACGCCCCAATTTTTTAAACAAATTTCATTTTGGAGGGAGGTCACGGTCGTGAAATCATTCATCATTTTCTTTCTCGCGAGAAAGAAAAAAAGAAAGACAAAGTAAGTATCGTTAATCGATGATATTCCTCGTTGAGTCCGATATGAAAAGATTCGGATCTTACGTTACGTTGATGTCGGTAGAAACGCAAATGGAAATCCGGTTACATATAGCGATTTAGCGTCGTTTGGTGATTGCAGGAAACAACGACTTTTAGAATCCGTATATATACGTGTGTACGGCCCACAAAACGTATTACTAGCTACTACCCCTCGTTTCGACGACGTTAATTCTTTTCGCCTCCTCGGATCCTTATGTCGCACAATAGGTTGAGATCCTACCGGGACGCATGGAATCATGCGTGTACGCGCCACGAGAGGAGGTGTGAAGGAAGAAAAAAGAAGAAAAAAAAAAATTGCAGTGCGTGCCCGCGGGCGGATCGGATTTCGCTCATTGTCATTGTAATTTCTTGGCGGGGTGTAGTTTTCGGGGCGTTCCTCACCACAGGGGTATTACCTACAGATGGCTGTTTGTTCGAATGTCACCGAGGGTTATTATATGCCTCGTTACTCGTCCTGCGACAGCTTATTTGAGCCGGTCTTTTTCTATTCCGTTTCCTCTCTTCTCGCTCTTGCAGCCGCCTCATTTCTCTCTTTCTCTCTCGTCTTCTGTTGCCGCATCTCTCGTACGTTTCTTCTTTTCCTCTTTCCCCGCGCGAATCTTTCTCATTTCTTTCCGAAACCGGTATGAAATACCGTGTGAGATGCAATGTTAAATACGTGATATTATTTAAAAATCTGTGAATTAATATGTGTCAAAGATATGTTTTTTAGTGATATTTTTGTTTTGCGATTTACAACGAAAAAAGCATATCACAATTTGAAACAATTTGCATTTTATTTTCTTTTTCGTTGATTTTGTTCAATCGAGGGATTCTCGATTTTCTCGTTGATTTGAATTTATCTAAAAATGAATTTATCTATGGTAGCTTTCGTAGATGATGAGACATAAATTTCGCATGTGTTTTTTGTATCCTATAGTTCCAAATGGGTGACAGTAATGGCAACATATATATATATATATATATGTGTGTGTGTGCGGAATATAACTGAATGTGTTTCGCTTCTCAGAAGCCGGTTATACAATTATCGTGGCTTACCTTGATTCTGTCACTCGAGGAGCTCCAGTTTAGCTCTGCTTTAAAGTATCGAGCAGATTTCTTTTACTAGCGACGATGATCTATGAAATTTTGATCATAATTATACAACAGTTGGAATAAATTGATCGCCAACAAGTTATCCATCTGCGAACAGTCGTTTTAAATATGTAAATATATACATCTATTTATGTATTTTAAACAGACTTGAAATAATTCAAAACCGACATCCATCATTCAGAAAAAAAATTTCACTGTCGACCGCAATATAATATAATTTTAAGATAATGTAAAGTCAAGATTAATTAATAATCTAAACTATTTTGAAAAAGATATTCGTGCGTTTTTGTCTCAAAAATTATTAATTGCGACATATGAATATGAAAACAAAATTTGTTTATTACGTATTTGCTAATTTGTTTGAAAAGCAACATGTATTTCTATTTGCACGGATTAATTTATTATCCACGGTATAATCGTGAGAAGAATCAAATGTAATTAATCATTCAAAGAAGGATGCCAACCGCTGGCAGAATCGTGCGACTTTAATGATTCTTTTCTATTCGCACTATTCAATATCTCCGCTTCGTCGCTTCTCACGACGAGTCAACGAATGAAAGTAATCATCGCGTTCTTTATTCCCACTGATTCCGATACGATCCGGCAAATTGACAGATTACGATAACAATCCTTACATGCATTTGCCGGAAATGAGTCTTCTTCTAAACATACACTTGTGAAAATTGAGCTTAATTCAAATCTAGATCACATCGTGCAGGACCGAGGGGTGGAAAAAATACATCGATCGATTCCAGATGATCTCGAGTGTCGAAGAGTGCCTTTCTTATATTGTTCAGCAGGCGGGACCGTTCCGAACGGTTTCTCTCCCCCCCCCGATATGGAGGGCGGCCCACCATCTTTGTATAAAGGCAGCTAAACTCCTAAAATCAACCCCTAATGAAATTAACGATCGCCACGTTGCTCGTAGTTGCCCGGGGGGCCCAGGTGGATCCCCGCCTGGCGGAAGAACCCTCTCGGCGCAGAGCCCCTTCACGGCCGAAAAGTCACACCCCAGTCACACCAGCTAACCAATCAAGGTCGAGAAGTAAGCGAAGTCGTTGGATACGCGTCGATTGGTTAAGTTTCCGGCGCGTTGATTGCCCAGGAAATTATTGTGCGTGTCCAGGACGCACGTGTTAAGCGCCCCGGTTACGCGCTCAAGGCTATTCGCAGATGGAGATATTTCGTACAACGTCAGTCACGTATGGCGGCGATAATTGTTTCACGATGACGCGCGTGCTGCCTTCGAGCTTTGTTCGGGATACAGGCCCTTCGGAGTCGTCGTTTTGTCGTACGAAAAAAATAAATGACACGCATCATCGACGTACGGGTCGACGTAGAGATCGCGAGTCCAAGTGTAATTTCGTTCAAAACTGCTGGATGCAGCGCGATAAATGCACTCGTAACACATGAGATTTATAAACATTACGCAGGACGATTGTTGTTTATCTTTATCAAGATATGAAATATTTTTCAAGTCACGATTCATAAGGCCTGGATCGGCCTTAGATGTATTTTTCGTTTTCGTACGAAAGGTTCAAAATAGAACGGAAGTCAGACGTTATTTGTTGACCCAAGGAGAACTTTTTTTTTTTTTTTTTTTTCATGAAAATTACGCAAGAGCCTCGGTCCAGTCTCGATGACGAGGTCATCGACGAGACCTGGGATCTGCAGACTCGACGGGCGCAGCACCTGTTTGCAAAATCCACGCGGATGCAATAATTGCGCGTCGCTCGTCGGTACCTCGAGTGAGCGCCGCGACTATATCAATTGATTGTGTATCGATACATCGGCGTAATAATCGACATTATATAATCACGTCATAAATCATACGTAGGTGCGCGAGAGTGTGCCTCTCGTTAAAATCGTCATGGGACGCGGCGGGACGGCACTGCACTTCGCTCGCTCACGAAATGATTTCTCTAAACAGCCCGCGGCTGTGGATAATAGCGAGTCGACCAGGTCGACACCGGCGAGAGTTTCTTTTCTCGAATTTTACGAGGTGGATGAATTAACGACGGCGCGCTTATTTGTCTCCTCCGGCTCTTTTGCGTTTCGTCGCGACGGCGCACGTTCGCTCTCCTCTTTCTCCTCTTTTCGACCCCGCACGGATATTCAATCCGACGGATATTCATCTCTCTTTGTTTTCTCTCGCTTTACCTAACGGCTTCAAAATTAAAGCTGCGAATTTGGAACGAAAGTAACGATTACAGCCACGATGCGATAATTCTGGTGGAACAGTATATATTTTCTTTTCAGAATATTAGAATATGAGACATAAATAATAACACATGGCACA